AGATGCAGTTAAGGAGGAGATGACGGTGCTGAGGCTTTGGCTACGCTTCTTCTCTGAAGGAATGCATTACACCACTGTAGCCTATGTTTACTATGCACTGCCTTGACTCTGGACTAAAAGCCTGTGCTGTTTATAGACCGGCCAGTTGAACACAGGACACGTGGAGACGGTCAAACAAAGTAGGTCAGTGGAAGCTCGCTGTGGAGGTCACAGAGATAGTGTCAGTGTGATTGAAACCTGGGTGACCAGTCAGTGGAGCCCGACTTTCTGTTCATGTTGGATCGGAGCAGAAACGGGTCAGGAAAGCAAGATTTAGGGATGGAACGATGTAAGATTTGGTCACGATAGAAAAACACTCAATAAGTTGACCGTGGTGATTTTCTATTATCGGGTTAATCGTAAATATTGTCGTAAATAGTGACTTGAAAAAGCTCGTTATCATGGCAGAGAACTAAAAAAGAGAGCCTGACTCATAAAAAAATAAGTGCCATTTTAAGAGTTTTAAGCATATTTTGATAATCATAATATCGTGAATCACAATGACTTTGTCCGGGATAATTGTTGTACCTATTGTTCCCATGCCTAGCAAGAGCCGACATTTATTTCTCCATTTAACGGTAAAATAGGGAAAAGTTGGAACACTACGAGCCATATTATCTTTTATTTTTAAATGGCGCTAGAAGGTGAAGCATCTCTGTGAATTCAGTCGTTCTTCTATGAAGCCGATGGTGAGAACTGCCAGGAGTCATATGCTGCTGTCTACTCACTCACATGGCCTCCTGCTGGCCTCAGCTGGCCCGGAAAGGGTTAATTCCCCATCAGAGCTGCTCAGGTTTCCCGCCAGCTGTCTGTACCCTCAGCTGTTTGTTCTCTCGCCCCGTTCCTGTCCCCAAACCTCACACAAGACACACATACTCTGCTACTGCTGTGGCTAAAAAGTGCTACTTGCTTCGCCGCTCTGATGTTCACTTTCTCGACATACTTTTTGGCATCCCCTGTCCCTTAACTGACTGTTGTTCTGCTTGGTTACCGCTTTCCTCTTCCTCTCTTATCTGTAACACCTGCACCGACGTAGAGAGTGAGCTTGTCTTGAGTTCTAGTGAACATTAATGTAACAAATATCACTTCTCCTGGCAGAATGAAGACGTGGTGACGGCGTGCGTCACCACGTCTGACTGTCAGCAATCACCCTGTGATGAATGCCGGGCCTGATAGCGGTGCAGTAAATGGATTACATATTGCTCTTGGGTGAATTCATTCGGTTTTCCCTCTTGGTTGAAAGGGCAGAACAACTGCGAGTCCTCTGTGTGGCCCTCCCTCTTTGACTTTCCAGCTGCTGTTTAACTAAAGAGGTAAAGGACCTTGGACTGTCGGAGCCCCTCGGCAGGGCCCGGATCTGAGCTGCCGACGAGCTCACTCACTGTGTAACTTGTGTTGATTTTGAGCGGCTTGTATAAAACACCTCTAACGGTCCGTACGCCATGAGGGCCAGAAAACTCTTTCATTAAAGATGACGCAATTGATCATTTGCTTATCCGGAGTTTCTTTTTACCTCATCAAATGAAAAATAGCAACAACTTTTGTTCAGTCATTGCAGAGAGCCGTACTAGACTTTGATATTTCGAGCAGACTGGGATGTGGCTAAAGACTGGGAGCTAATCCTTACAGTTGTTCGCTCCACTGACACGGTTGCATCTTAATGCAACGCATACGCCAAAAGCTGCAATTAAGTATGTGTTTGGAAGTTCTTATCAGTGGAGCCCATGCTGGATTATCCGCCTCTCACCCATGTAATCAGTCACATATAAAAACCAATAGTGCTCTGCTAAAGAGGTTGCTCTAGCCTGCTTCTACACTACCGTTCTGCTGTTCATAATGAATGAGCCTTTGCAGAATCTCAAACTGGTAGGATGCAACGCACCTCGTTCACTTGCTTGCTCATGGTAAGCCTGCCTGTCGTGACACATGGCTGTGTTTACATGTAATAACCCTCATCCACTCGGCTCATCTGTTACGCTGCCGCACCGTGTCGAGGGCTTTGCGTCTGACACAATAGCTTCATCACAATGCGACGAGGCTGGAAATGAAAGGCACGTCCTTCGGAGGTCTCGAGGTCTACGCTGAGCTTGCATTTTCTCCACAAATAATATGCTCTTTCCTGGGGAAACTGATTTCACAAGGGGTTGATCGTAAAATGTTGATAGTTGTAACATTTTACGTTAATACATGAGGTCTCAAAGCTCAAACCCAGATGAATCATCATGGATACTCAAATCTGGGATTTAAGAGTTCAGAATGCATTCTGGGATACAGAGGACTGGTTGCGTCCTAGAAATTCAGCCCAAAGAAAGCTGCAATTTTATTTGGCCACATGTGGAGGAACCTTTAACATGTTACGATGTCCTCTGTACCCACAGCACATGTATCCGTGTTGATCACACCCCTTATTAAAGGACATGCCTGTCTAGTGTAAGCTTGTTCCCTCTCTGCTATTGCAGATCATTAGCATCAAGTGTGTAAGTGCGTAGAAACGGGCCTGGTGGGTTTGGATGTGTTTCACAGTCCCAGCCTAACGCCTACCCTGCTCTCATCATGCAGCCCACTCACCAGCACATCCCGCTCTGCTGCTCAATGGATGTTCACGTTAGCGTATGCTGCTACATCGCACCTCTGTTGGTTTTACTTGAGCATCTCAGCTGCCTGACTTCTACACATTGTACTGTGGATGTTACATGGTCAGTTAGCTGTTCTCATAGTAACTCAACAAAGTGTGCAGAAATGATGTTTTTGTTGTTCTACAGTAGAGTTGTAATTGAAGCAGGTACAGATGATGAATGGAGTATTCAGGTAGTATTCAAAGAGAGTACACGCTTGTGTTCCTACACACCTGGTATGATTTATATTCTATTTTCTCTCTTGGGCATTATGTACTGTGGAGTAGCATTTCTAATTGGTGTTGAATCGCTATACGATACTGAATTTCCTACATTCAATGATGACGAGATTGTTTTCTCCGACTTAATTGCAGCTTTTGGCGCATTCAGACTTGAAAAGAGAAACGCTCCCTGCACGGCACATTATTTTACATGTGGTTGCAATTAGAGGGGTCCCAGCCTGTTTCTCTACCTTGTTTATGTCATCTGTCCTTCCTCTATTAAATCCCACTATGGCTTCTGTCACCGATTGCAAGTATTAAAACCTCCTCCTCATGCTTAAAGAGGAGAAGCCCTCTTAATGGTGTTGTTTTAGGTGCTCTCATGTGAAACTCTTCGGGTGTTGCTCTTGCAGTCACTGGGATCAGTTGGAAATACTATTAACTGATGATGTCATCAGGTTTATCATAGACTAGAGTTACAAACTGAAGATGTGTGGATTATTGTTTGACTGTTACAATGTCTGGCATGGTGGACATCAGTTCTTTGCAGCTTATTAATCTGTATTCTTTATATTTAGTTTATTTGCACTCTTTATATTTGCACTCCATCGCACATTGTAATGCAACTGCTGCACAACAATCTTCCTCAGGATGAATAACGTTTTATCTTATCGAAAGATGTTTGCGTTGACCATTCAGGGAAGGCACTATTGCGTTGCATTATGGGAATTGTAGGAGCCAGTGCTTTTGAAGCAAGACCTATACTCGGGACGAAGCGTCTGGATTCCTCCGTAGCTCATTTTTCACCATTCCTTTTTAAAACCGTCTCCTGCGAGTTCCTCAAGTTTATGGAAATGAAATACTAAATCACTAGCGTTCCCCTCAATGTTGTCTTCTTCCTTGATAGAAACCAGTACTGATTTTAATTTCATCAAATTATCTCCCCCCCCCCCCCCCCCACCACCACCCCTGTCTTTCTAATCAAAGTGTTTTCTCCCACAGGACACACTGAAGCCGACGTTCACGATAGCCAGCCTACCGGGCAGTACCAGCAGCGCCCAGTGCACGGTACCCACCACCTCCACCACCATGCAGGTGAGCAGCGGCGCTTCGTTTCCCATCACCAATTACCTGGCACCCGTCTCGGCCAGCGGCAACATCAGCGCCAACGGTACCGTCCTCAAGACCGCCTGCGGCTCCGCGGGGGTCATGCAGCTGCCCAGTGGCTTCACTTTCATGTCCGGTATGTAGGAGAGCAAAGAATACGGGGTGCTTTTACCATTGACGCCCATAGCTCTGTTAAAATTCTTAATTGTTTTCATTATTGTTTGTTAATCTCAACTTCATCCTTAAGAATTGAACTGATGCTTCTGCGGGCCTCCGTGTTTTGTCAATGTCACCGTGTTGTCGAGCCCGTTGGCTAATTAGAATTTGAATGGCAGAGTGTGCCGTGACCTCGGCTGTCTTGGAGTGGTCGTGCCCCGCTCTCTCTTCAAGCTGTTCCACCTCACACAACAGCCCTTCATAGCCAGTCATCAGCACTCGGCAGCCTTTGGGTTTTTACAAAGCCTTCAGTATCCAGGAAAGCCACGCCTATTGGCGACTGGCTCTGCCTTTGATTGTCACTTGGGGACAGGAATAATTAGGTGAGAGGGACACAATGGCCCATAATTAGCCATGAATATTCAATGAAGGTTCGGTGGTTGAAATTATAATTGCGTACTTTATGGAGCGGGAGCTTTGTGACACAGTGGTCCTGAACTAGACATGACCCTTCATTAATATGGACTTCACAGACACACTCTTAAACACAAGGGGATCGCTACTGCACCAACTCAACGAGGACATTGGGGGGCAGCAGGCTCTGATTTGGGATCCTTAGGTGTTTCTAAATTGGCTTTCCCCCAGTAATTATTCATTACATCTTTTCATGGTGGATGTGCTGGAAAATACTGGGGCGTCAACATGGAGCATGGGGATACCAAGAGGTCACGATTCCCCCAAAAGACGTGAAGAATATTTGGATTTCACGATTAATTTAGATGTTATCTTATCTGTATGAGAAGATCAGTGGTCTGGAGCATTTATTGGGACTGTCCATGACAAGAGCAATTAGAAAAAGGCTGGTTGACACTTAAATGCTGACTGGTGCGATGTGTTTTCTACAGTATATGACGCTGTTGTTAACAAGAGCCCAGTGCTCGTCGGTGCTGTATATTTTAAGTAATGGCAATAATGTCGCTAACTAGTCGTTAGCGCTGCCACAGCTGAACAGACAGACACGTGATGCCCACTAATTGGTGCTGTATGCTATTTTGACTGACAGCTGAAGGAGAGACAGGCAGTGTCTCTGCCCCCCCCCCCCCTCTTTTCTTTCTCCTCCTCCTGCAACCCTTGTCTCTCCCTCTCCCTCCCTCTACTGCTCTCTCTCCTCCTCACCACCTGTCTGATACATAGCAGCAGTGCCAGGTGGAACAACACACCCTCCCACACTGCAACCTCCTTCAGCTGACAGCTTGAAAGGGCCTACCCACCCTACTGCAGCAACTGTTTATGGAGCATGTGACCAAATGGGATGGTGTAACTGCAGAGTCATGTTCTGAAATGAAATCTCTGCCATGTGGCAAAAGACAACACTTTGATGTTTAGAATATGAAACAAATCGTGCAACAATTGAACGGTTTTAAATGTCAATGTGCCAGCTACAGTCATATAGTATGTGTTAAACCTGTGTATTATTTTCACTGACGGAAGCATTCAACTTTAATTTATCTCAATGTTTAGTTTAATGTGACATCAGCTGAAAGGTACCCTGTGTGTAAGCGTTGACCACCGGTAGCGCTATGGAGCGATATTTTGTCAAGTGGGTTCTTGTGAAACATTTGAAACATTATGAAACATTTGTGTCGAGCTACACTTGTAGTGAACAGCACTTTTCCAAGCTGTACTGTCCTTTCACATTTAGTCTCACCCCCCCCCCGTGTGTGTGTGTGTGTGTGTGTGTGTGTGTGTGTGCCCCCCATACAGCAGGCACTACTCTCCCCCCTGGCACCCCCACCATTCCTCTGAGCCAGCTGCAGCAGCACTCCCTGGCCCTCCAGGGGCAGCATGGTCAGGCCCTGGCTGCCGCCCCGCAGTCACAGCAGGGACAGCAGGCTGTCTTCCGCTTCCCTGCTGCTGTCTCCCTCACAGGTGACCCGCACTGCCACGACTGCCTGCTTATACTAATCACGATCAGATCATCACAAAGCCGCTGCTACTAGTACTGCTAATGCTACCTCCTCTGCTACGACTACGAATCATGCACATAATGATAGGATTACTAATTGTACTCGCACGACAACTTCCTCTACCTCCGCTAATATTACTGCAAGTGCTTCTAGTGCCAGAACTACCATATGGCACCCCCACTGCTGCTGTCCCCACACTCCTACTGCAACTACCACTCTTCCCCCGTGTGGGATGCTTGATGACTTACTGTAGTTGGCTGTATGCCCTCTGTGTGTCTTCAGGAGCAGGTGTTCCCCAGCAGCTCCAGGCTATCCAGGTACACCACAACTCCCAGTCCGGCGACGGCAGCCTCGACATATGCCACACCTCCACAAACTCCACCGGTAGGTCAGATCTTTTCTCTGAAGAAAGACCCTGTTGTCCTGTCTTGATGAGAATTTGTCGCTCCATTTTAAAAACAATGGATATTTGTGCTCCAGATGGTGGAAATGGTTCACCAGAAAATGTCAAGTGCAGTAACCAACATTCATGTAATGTAATAATGACATACAGTAGCATTTACTGAAGTTTTACTGAAGAAGTTTTGGACATAAAATGCAAGTATACAGCATCTCAAGGCGTGGACATGATGTCCTCTTGAGTGTTGCTGTCCCACTTTGTCACACGAGTAGATTTTTTTTAAAATGTGTTTTCTAGCTTGCACTATTTTTTTATTCTGGTCCTGTTGTGTCCTCCAGAAAGGTGTTATTGTGCCACTACACAGCATAAGTAGGCGTTAGCGGTTGAATTTAGATACATGTTGAGCGCCATCTGCTGGCCAACATATGTACATTTGTACACACACACACTTCTAGTCCTCGGTGTAGAATTAGCTTTCTGTCCCTCCTCCTCACTCCCCTGCTCTCTTTACAGCGACGGTGAGTCTCCCAGCGACCATCGTCACCTCGTCGATGCCGACGTCTGTTGCGGGTCACATGATGTACGGCAGCCCGCACACAGTGATGTACGCCTCCGCGCCGACGCTGACCGACGGGGGGCTGGCTGTGCTCAACGCCTTCTCCCAGGGCACCTCGACCATGCAGGTGTCCCACGCACAGGGCCAAGACTCGGGTGAGACTCTGAACACCACAGACTGACGAAACATCATTTACTGACAGATGTGGATTAATATGTCAATTGTGCATCATTTCAAATAAACATAATTGCTAGAGTTTACCTTTTTTTCCCCCCTCTCTTAGGTGCTGTCCCTCAGGTGTTCCTCACAGCACCTCCAGGCACGGTGCAGATCCCCGTCTCAGCGGTGCAGCTACACCCAGTACGGCAAGATCTGCATTTTACAAGTGAAACTCTCATATTCCCTATGCAACCAGCATGCCACGTGTCCGCACTAATGCATCCTAACAGAGCACTGGCACACAGAGGCCACAGGGTTGTCACCTGTTGCCCTTTTGTTTTTGGGATGAATGTGAATGATCAGCTGGCAGCTTGTTTTGCCTGTGACTTTCAGCAAAATACACATGCAATAGACTTACACCACTGTAGCAGTGCATGGGAATCAAAACTTGTTTATTAATTCACTTTATAAAGTCCAGTCTTGTAAAGAAAATTATTGGGAATTCCTTTCTGTAAATTGGTTTAAAAATACGTTGGTATTTTGATTATACGCAATTGGAAACATCCCGTAGAATTCAAGATCATTTTTTGATGTCTTTTGAACAAAAGTCATCTTTCCTAATAGTCTAAATTGCACGCTACAGAATATGATTTCATAAGTAAATGATATAACCCATCAGAATCTATTACAGCATTAAACCACTCCTTGATCAACAGCATGTAGTGTAGCAGTATTTCCATCTGTGCTGGGTGTAGTGATGACTTGTGATTGGCTGTGTGTTCGGCCCTGCACCGTCTCCTGACGTAGCCATCTTGTGTTCCAGATGGTGATTGGTCCGCAGTCGAGCGGCAGTAACCTGACGGAGCTCCAGGTGGTCAATTTGGACGCAGCACAGAACTCAAAGAGTGACGGAGCTGTTTAACACAGCAGACCCAGGGACACGGACGGACAGACTTGCATACATCTCTATTTATTGATGCCTTCCTACAGAGTTTCACATTACACTTTGGAATGTGACTTTAAAGTACACACACACAATCAAGGGCATATGTGTGGCTGACCCTTATACAGTATGTTTTGGTATATAAATATATATATATTCGCAAATGCATAGGAAATATATCACGACATCTATCATAAGAACCTATTTTCTATGCCGTTGTTTTTTTTGTGTGCGTGTTTTTTTTTTTTTTTTTTTTTGTTGAAAATGTGTAATTACATGTAGACACACACACTGCGAGGTGCCACAGCTTCACACCAGCCAAAGAGACATTTGTTTGTCTGAATGTTCCAGTGTGAGCAACTTGTGCACAAGCGTGTGTCGGTGTGTGCGCACATATCTGGGGTTTGTAAATGGGTGGAGAGACTCTTATTGACTTTTGGAAATGTACATAGTTTTTTTTTGTTTCGTTTTTTACTTGTATTTTTAGCCTGGTTTAGTTTGTGCGGCGGCATGTAGTTGTTTTTTGTACGTAGTGATTTTGTATGTACATGAAAATGATTTGCCTGAAGAAAAGTGATTTACATGTATATGTAAATTAATTTAGTATACCATCATATGTTGATAAACGGTCCTGCTGTTGAGAGTTTTCACTACAAGATGGAGAAGGAACGCTGGATTTCTTTCTACATGTGTCGCTTGTGACATTTGTAGTACTGTCCTTCAAACAGGGTCAAGTAGCTGGGTCACAACATATAAAGCATAACATATTTATCATTTACTGTTTTGCTGCGAAGGTTTCAGGGCTGATGGCATGGTCGTTTAATATGACATCAGTTTTGCATGTGAAGTTTCCTAATGAAGCCCTGATCTGGCACTTTTAGCGTGAAAACTGTTAAAACTATGACAATCAGATGGAAATTTCACTTCTCACCTTTTGACCTACTGCTATCTGTTTTCATCTGTGTACACACAGAAATGCAGCACAATTCTGACATTTTAAAAACACTTAACATTCTTGAACTGATTAGTTTGTTCACTTCTTTTTAAATGCCACAACTGTTGACTTAGTCCTTCTGTGGGTAACAAACCAGTTTTCATGACATCGGATATATATATATAAATATATATATATATATATATGAACTTTGTTGTTTAAAAAGCAATCCATTGCCTCCAGAACTTTAATGTTATGCTATAACTGACTTGAGTCAGGGCATTGGACACAAATCTCTTGTTTAACAAGACACTGTATAGACTTGGCAATTCCACTTCAATACTGCGATTAAAGCATCGTTTCCTAGTATGGAAGCACTCTTGTTCAGTGTCAACGCTGCAGTATTACAACAGTGAGTATGAATATTTTTGTACAAACAAGGATCTCTTATTTAGGAAAAGTGACTTCAGGTGCTTTAAAATGTTGATCTACTCCTTTTAACGACAACTGTTAAGACCCTGGCTGACTGCAATCTCAGTGTGTACCTCAGCAATCATTCAGAATGAGTTATTAGACAGCCTTCTTTCTGCGCCGTTGTGCCTCTTTTCCATGGCTGATTTCTAAATCACTGCTGGGCATGGGAAATGTAGGGTTTACTTATTTCAAGACCGCCATACATGACTTTACATACAATCCTCTGCTGTGAGATCTCGTGACTCATTTCTACAGAACTAGCTGGATGACTCAGCATGCTGGCTTGAAGCCAAAGAGAATTTGACGGAGGGTAACGTACCCATGCCGACTGCTGTTCGGTTATTCACTGGCAGGTCATGTTCACGCTCGCTCGATGTTTGTGTAGGAAATGTACAGATTAAAGACATTCAATTCCCCCTCATCTGGTGATTTAAAAATACTATTTTAAAAAGGGGAATTATTGAACCGAATTTGTGGTTTTCACCTCGTCATTGAGAGAAATGCTTATGTATTTTAGTTTTGTTGTACAGACATTTTGTAATAAAAACATGAAACACAATGACCACATATTCTGATGATTGTTTTTTTTTTTAATTGGGACGGAGAATGTCAAAAAAACCATATTGTCCTAAATGAAACCTAATGCGTTGCATAACTGCAAAGTTGAAATGAAGACCGCTGATTAGGAATAAATACGCCAACGCCTCCGAGAGAACGAGAGGCTGCTTCACTGCTCTGCGAGGCAGGAGGAGTGAGCGTGCACCTTACCGTAATGTTTTAACGAGGCATCGCACAATCACTAAATCAAACTGGCCCTAAGAAAAGTATAATAAGACTCATCCCATTTCACAAACAAAAAGCAGCGATTAACTTAAAGAAATGCAACACGATACAGTGATTGGTCTAAACTGTCAAGAACATCTATCAGTTGGCATCAGTCCTGTACATCTTCACAAACCAAACAAAGTCGATGCAACACAAGAGAGGCATAATAAGAGCACGACAGACAGCAGTGAAGCAGAAACCCCTTCAACCATCAATCCACAGTGTGACAGTAAGGCATCACATCTCCCCGTCAGTGTCTTCAAACAACAAAGTGCTGACAGCTGAGAAATCATCAACAGATGGCCCGGCTGCCTTTTTTTTTTTTTCTTTTCTTTTTCTCTTTCTTCCAACAATGAGAAATAATGTAGAAGCATGCATTTACACCAGGTAGTATATCTCTATTGCTATTGTACACATACAATATACAAACATACAGAACAGCTGGAAAGATTAAAAAAATGCATGATTTGACAATTTAAAAAAGGTTTCCCATTAAAATAGAAACGTTACTCCAGGTACATCATAGATATTTTTTTGTTTATGAAAACATTTGGGGGGGAAAAGACACAAAAAGCTTTTTGTTGTGTATATTTACATTATGAACAAGGATGAAAAAAAGACGTGTGCAAATCTGATTCCATGCAAGCAGTTGCATAATGTAGATTAGGCGCTCGAGTGATAAGATGGGACCAGAGAGAGGGCGAGACCAGGGACTACTGGCTTCAATGAACGACTCGGCTCTTTTTCCACCGCAGTAATACATCACGGGAACGTTCACACGGGAAACAAAACAAGCAAACTTACATTAAGTAGCATCTTGAGACTAATTCAAACCTTCCGCTACCGATATGCAGGCAATACACAACCAACCTGTTCCAACAATACACGGCACCTCGTCATTCAAGACCAGGATGAAAAGGTAACACTGCTAGTAGACCAAACACCTCATGGGAAGTCATAATAACCTGTAGAGGAACTCTGAGCTCTTAGGATGTCGTCTGGACCCCTAGAGAGAGTTCTGAGATGAATATCGGATGTTGATGTTTTTCTGTTACAAAGTTTCTAAATCAGACTTTCTTCTGATCTGGTTTTCTTGTGAATTACTTCAAATAAAAAACAACAACGTACAGACATACACCACAAAGTAGACAAAGCTTTGTTTTAGGGATCAAAAGCCAATAAAGGTTGGGAACCCCAGCAAGTCCAAAGTTAATGATCCACTTAAGACACTGATCAACAGAAGAATAAGTTAATTACTGAGAATTAGAAATGGTGCGAAAAAAAACAAAAATGATACTTGGATGAAATAAACACTGTTGTGAGAAATGCAACACTGGTTCTGGAGAACAACAACTAATGTGGAATCACAAACTTGTCTCTTCCCATTTCCTAAAAGCCAACCCCCCCCCCCCCAACAAAAAGCATGAACATGAATAATGTAACAAGTGCAATGCAATGAGGTCCGTGTGCAAATTCACATGACTTGCAAAATTCACCATTTCATTTGAGAAAATGTGATGGATGGTGACGTCTTTGGGCGAGGGTGATTACAGGTGAGCCTTGAGAGCACAAGCATTGAGCGACAAACTCAGGAAGGACGAGGAAGTACGTCATTCATTTGATCTCAATATGACATTAGTTAAAAAGGCAACACGAAAGCAAATGAATAAATAAAGAGGACTTGGCATTTAAAATAGGAGTGCAGTATCGTAAGTACTACAGATGGATATGTATGTAACTACAGGTACATGTAGGGGCTGAAGGTAGTGGGCTCTAGTCCTCTTGTCTTCAAACAGACAATGCGTGAGGAGTTAAGATAAAAATGTTTCAAAAGGAAACAATCTTGTGTAACTGAAAGGTGCGGTTCCACACTAAGGCAATGATGTTTACAAATGGGTGATAATGGGACAGAAAATAAATACACAAACATATTTTTCTCCTTGATATAATAATTACAGGGCTGTCTTTCGGCAGGTGGAGAAAGAAGGGGGGGGGGGGAGAAGAGAAAACACAGAGGCTGAGAGTCCAGTGACCATCTCTCTGCACCTCGACCTCCATTCTCCTCTTAGTGCTCCGCTGGCTGGGCAGTGTCTGTGCTCTGACCTTCTCAAAAACAAGACCCAAGACTTCAATAGTGGAGCCCGAGAGGCCAGAAGAGGGGGAAGTGATGAACCCGTCCGTGTGGGCTTTAACAGTCTTGCAGGGATGAGCGGTTAGTGGTAATCTTTTGACGACCTTGTGACACCAGCGCCACCACCACACCCCCCCAAAGGCCCGGTTTACTCCTGACCTGTCTGCCTGGCCGAGGCAGATGGATGAACAGCAGGAGGATTACGGCGAGGAGGAGGCAGCTGCGTGGTATTTGACAAAGGCAATGGCTGCCAGCTCTTTGCAGAACTCCTCCAGCACGATCACCCCCTCTAGCAGAGTCATGTGGTCGATACTACAGGAGGAAGAGACGGAGAGGTGAGAGGCGCGCACACCAAAAGCCAAACCAGAAGATAAGTGCACGGAACTGTGTGGAGGTACGTACTTGATGCCCTCCGGCTCCAGGCCTAATAATCTCTTCCTCACGAGCAGCAGTTTGGGTGTGAAGTCTGGGATGCGCTGAATCCTCAACATGAGATCTCCCACCACCTAACACACACACACGCACACGCACACAAATTACCAAAATATCACAGCACTGCTTCCATCTGGGCCCACCTCCTCTGAGTAAAGGTGAAACACTTGTAAATCATTACTCCACTCACTGGAGACACAAACCAGACAGGAGTGTCTTACCCTGACGATGACCGAGAACAGAGACCTGCAGCCGGGGGCCAGGTTGATGTAAGGGTCCAGCAGGTACTCGTGCAAGTGGGGGTGTGGAAACAAAGACAGCTTGGACAGCACAGCGGTCACCTGCAGGTTGACATCGTAGGGCTGGAGGACAGAGAGGGCCTCAGATATACAACTACACAGGATATCAACTGGTGATGAGAGGGAACTAAAGATGTGTGCGGAATAAATAATGACACAATAGTCACAAGCTTTCAATGATAGAAGTGAACACAGCGCTCTCTTTCAGATTTGATTTTCTGCATCAAGAAGCCCATGAATGCCTGTTAGACATCTTCACAATTCCCGTCTAACATCATTTGTCAAATGAGTTTATGGCAAGAGCCGATTGTTTTAGTTTAACAAAAAAAATAAAGAGCATCTGCATAATCAGCAGCTCATTTGCATAATCTTCCCTTGTTTTCCTCCTCCTCCTTTTTCATTAGTGGGCCTCATTTACACCAAATTGCAGTGAACACTGTTCTCTTGCAGCAAAGAATGACAACATGCGTGTGTGTGGGAACATAAGACCTCAGTGAAAATATGTTTGAATAAAAAACAAAAGAGCCAAAACTTATAGACTTACTTGGTTTGACTTTAAATAACATTTTGTGCTCACTCGCATGCAGAAAGCTGAATTTGATCAATGGAATCTGGTTGCACACGTCTAGTTAGTATGTAGATGAACCAGTTCAGCACGACTCACAAAACCTTGCCTTGGAAATCTGCCATTTGAGATTATTTTGGAATTGATTAGTTCTATCCATTTCCATCGACTAAAGGCAGTCACATGTTGATTCAAGTGGTGCTCCGCAAACAGCACGACACCGGCTTTATTTGCTCTGTGGATTTGTTTACAAGCTGCATTTGTGATTTAAAAAAAGATCACTTACGGATCGGTGAATCCTAAACTATGCAACAGATATTTCATACAGATTTGTTTTTTTGGGAATGATGCAAGCATCATTGCAGATGTTAGCTACTGTATATGGCGGATCAAACTCACCTGATCTAGGATGCGACCCATCCTGTCGAAGAGAACCTTGAGGAAGTGGCCCTCGAAGAATGGGCTGTCCAAGTCACACTTCTCAAAAGGCTTTGGATTCCCCCTCCAGTCCCACTGCTGGCAGACCCCACAATAGTCCCTGAACTGAGGAGAACAATTCATCTATACTTAGTGTCTCTTGCAGCGGTTTCCATGGACTTGCCTCAGCAATTAGTTTAATTGTGAAAGACCCAGGGAGGGATTTAACCAGAATCGTTTCCTTTTTGTCGAGTGTATCTCGAGCCTTAAACACAGTGCAGAACGAGCCGTACCTGTCTATGTGCATCTCTGAGGTAGGTGTCATAGCCTGTGCCTTCAACATGAAATGATGACTTCGCCTCATCGGGCACCAAACACAGGAAACTGCAGGCAAACAGAGTTCAACAGTTTAAAAGAAAAAAAAACAGGAGACTCCACATGCTGTGTGTTCAATAAGGAGCAGGCTGTGTACCTGTTGACAATCTTGTGGACCTCCGTCTTCCCGTCAGACTTTGAGTGGTCGGGGCTCTGTTGTGGAGAGGAGCTGAGCCAATCAGAACCAGACAGCCTGCTGTCTGGAGCAATTTCGTCACCAAACAGTGGATCCTCCTCAAGGTCTCTGGAGAAAGAACGCCTTCATTAAAAAGTATTTATATTTACCAGAACATTATGTGATCTCTCAACACAAAACTCTGAGGAAAGAGACAAAAGAGTAAGCCATGTGCTCTTTGTCAGTATTTCTTCGTGCAGTTAAATATATGAGGAATATGAGGTATTTTATGGGATGACAGCATTTCTTTGGGCAGTCGTTGCACTTTGAGTTCTGGAGTGTAACATGTGAAGGAAATGAATGTCTACATAAAAGTTGACTGTATCTGGAGGTATGGTTACTGTATGCCTGTAGATATAAAAATGTCACCGACATTCTTCAACTATTGACCTCATGTAACCTCTACCAAAACTACGATTGTGTCATATCATGCAACCCCAGTATCATCATGCAGCCTGGCTTCATTCATTTGCTAGAAAACTAATAAGCCTCTTATATTGATATCTATAAATCTCCCAGAACTGATATGAATCAGTGTCTGACATTCATGCCCTATTAACCATGGCTTCAAAAGAATCCCACCAATTGAAACACACAACAAGAAACTGTTAAGTTGAATTGGTGGCACATCTGGAAAAACACAGCTAGCTGGTGCATTCACTTTATTTCCACTGGTGTGTGTGTGTGTTTGTGCAGATGTTTTTTCCAATTAGGACTGTAAGGCAGCTCAGGGAGGGCTGTGGTCAGAGGCCGGTCCTTACACGGCATCATGGGGCTGCCCGTTCTCCAGAGGCTCCCGCTCCTCCTGTGGTTTGTTCTCCAGGTAGTTCCTCTCCTCCAGGCTTCGCAGCAGCAAGCTGTGGAGGATGTGCTGGTTGGGCTTCTGGATCAGCTGCTCAAACAGCCGCAGTGTCATGATGCTGATCTGGGGACACGGAAGGAGGCATGAGGCTTAGCTACTTCTATGACCCGAGAGCAACGTGCCAAGTATTTACCCACTGAACAAAAAAAAGTAGGCAGTGGCTGTTTCAAACATCAAAGAACGATGATTCATCTCTCTTTTGTGTGATGAAAATGTGTGCAACCACTCCGTCATATACTAATTAAAATTCATGTGCTTTGGTGAATCAAATGATTCACTGGAGCCTGGAGCTCCTTGAAGGGCAGATGGTGATTTGTACTTTAGAATATCGAACAAGTAAGGAGAAGAAATAATGAACACATGATTTACATTTCTGTAGGAACATTAATGTGATCACGAAAGGGTGAAATAAAAAGGCTTGAATGAGTCAGATCAACAAGACATACATTATGTTAAAAGTACATTCATACATGCTGAATAATGATGCGATATGTACCTCGTCTGACAGGTGGTCGCAGTGTTCGATGAGTCTGTGTCTGAGTGGATTCTGAGCCATAGTAGCTGCAGTCTCTGGCTCTCTGTCCTCTCCTAGCAGGAAGTAAATCATCTCCCGCAGCAGAGCCTCTGAGGTCACCTGCCTGATGATCCTGTTCAGCAGGGCTGTGGAGGTCAGGATGCCCACCTCGGACCTACGAGCACACCGCGCGTTAACGAGCAGTCACGACGCATAACACGTTGACAGGACCAAGAATTTCAATAAAAGGATGATTGATTGATGATTCAAAGCTAGACTTACGTCTGCATGAGCTGAGGTTCCATAACAGACACAAAGAATCTTTCTCTCACTGCTTTTGCCATCACTGCAGCTGCTGACTGGAAGACAGTGGAGACAAAAAAAATGTACTTGAGCCTTCTGTGGCTTTCAAGATAGCAAAACAATTGCTTGTTCTGTCATTCAGTGGATTCTGAGGACAACATGACACATTGAAGCACAGTGAGTCAGCATTGGTTAAGGACCTTCTGAGCCTCCTTGATGAGCTGGTCACAGTAATCTAGCCAGGACAGGAAGGAGATGAGAGCCCTCTTCCCTGTAAAGACAGCAGCATCCTCCTTCAGGTTGTATACATCCAGACTAGTAAGAGAGGGAAGAAACAAATGAAAGGTTTGATACAAATCTACCAACGTATCCACTGCATGTAGCCTTAATTAATCGTCTGCCTCAACCAGCTATGCAGGGCAGATCTTGTACAGAAATGCAGCGGGAATCATAATAGTATGTTCTTGCCCTGCTGTTAGCTGGTTGTTGGCTTGTATTTCATAACTGATGACTGTGGATTTAGATTGCATGGACCCAGTAGTAGTGGTGAAATGCTGCCCCCTTTTAGTTTGGAGCATGTGGCTAAACATTACACCTTTAAGGGTTACCAACTAATTCAAAATCAATCAAAACTTCAGACGATGACGCAACAAAAGATTGTGTGCAAGTGGTGTTTGGAAGTCTTTAAATATGTGGCTATAGAAAGTAAACACAAGAGAGACATTTACCCCCAATTGACCGACTCCACTGTCTCAATGTCCAAGGGGTCCATGGACTGTGGAAGGGCTTTATAGAAGGAGACCAGCCTGTCAGTCAGGAGCTCACAGAGCTCAGTGTTTTCAATTAAACACTTGGCGGCTGCAGGCTCTGGTAAACTGACCAGCAGCATCAGGCCCTCACACGCCTTCACGACTATCCTGCCATCCTGAGTAGGGAAGAAAATGATACAGCTCATGCTTACAGACTTTCAACCAAAGATCACCAGAAGATCACCCAAAATCCTTTGCATGAAAATAACTTACAGGGCTCTTTGTGAGGTTGAGCAGCGAGGTGACAAGATTGTAATTGTTGCTGTTGTTACTGGTTTGACTAGAGAAGGAGGCAGCAGCTGCAGCCGGAGGCTCCTCTGGGCAGTCGGCCTTCGTCAGAGACTGACCAGTGTCTGGAGCCAACACATTCTCCTTCACCACCTCGGTCCCCCCAGGACGCTTGATCTCAGGTCTCTTTAACTTGTTCTGCAAACATCATAAATAAAAGATGCTCTCAGAATTTCTGCTAGTAATATATACAGATGAATATTTATGACTTATGTTCAACTTTTTCCCCCTTGGTGTCATAACTTACCTCAAGGAAGAAGTTGACAAGATAGGGGTCCTGCTTCAGTTTGGAACAGACAATACAAAGGAACTGAATCTCTTCATTTTCCGTAGGAGCAGTCAGCACCTCCCCACACAGACGGATCAGTTTCTGACAGAGGAGAAAAAAAAAAGTTAGGAATGAGTTACATAACCTGTCAGTTAGCAGACTATTTTGAGGACTATCAAAAATAACTCAAATCCAGACTGCATTACTTCTCACCTGTACAGGTCTGTGGACATTGATGTGCGGCAGGAGAGGTTGACGAATGTGTGCTAGCAGCTTTGTGTAGAAGGTGAGCACCTGCTGCTTCATTCCTGGAGGACACTGATGGAAAATCATAGAAACAGAATATTTATTTTCATACCAATATAAAAGTGTCCCCACCCGGCGTGGAAATAGCTCTCAGTGGAGGTTCACCAAAAGTGCATGTTGACATTAGGAGTGACCCCGAATAGTCGACCATTGGACGATTCGATCTCAGGACGCTGATTTGCAGCGACGGGAAAATGTGGAAATGAAACAAAATCAAAGAATCAAAGAACAGGCCTCCATTTATTAATCAGAGCACACGCATGAGAATGTAGCTCTATCAGAGCACTATATATATTTAGATTTTATTCCCTAAAATCAGCTGAGGGGGGCGCTTAAAAGCTGTTTGGGGCTTGCGTCTCTCTTTCGATCAGCGCTCTGTGAGAGTAATACAGACAGCACCTTCTGCAACTACACACACACACACCACATAAACAGAGGGGGATCAATGAGCAAGAAAAATAAACTACACATGATTTGACGATCAGTCGACTATAGGAAAGACAGATTAGACTATGTTAGTTGTTAGTCAGGGATAACCCTAGTTCACATACAACTATTTGTTAGGTCACTACACTATGTTTCATCCAATATCACATAGACAGGTGCCATATCGTGATATGCATGTTTTCCTGGAGGTATAGTTCATGTAGTTACCAAAGCATGACTGCCTTACATCTGCCTTGCCCAAGGTGTAGAGAGTCTCCAGGATCTTGTGGTGTAGGAGATACTCCATGCAGGGCCCCGTCTCTCCAGACTCCCGTTCCTTCTCCTCCTGGGTCAGGATGTCCAGCATCTGTTCCAGGTGGGATGGGATGTTGGTGTCTGTGACTGGAGCTTTGTCATCTAACAGGGGAAAACGAGGAAGCACGTCAGATCGCCTGTCTGTCCATTCGATATGAACATAAGGGAAAAGGTCATGCACATCTCCACCACATGTTGGAAGTGCGTAAAGTGTGAAAGCTTCTTTATTCTTCATCTAACCACTTCAACTCTGCACGGTTTTCCTTCCCATGGCCTTTTTTTTTTTTTTTTTAAATAAGTATGGGTGAATTAATTCAATGACAAGGTAGGATACACATGTCTATATCATGCTGAATGTAAGAAAGCACACAATGCCATAAAATATATTCAGTAACAAGAGATAAATCACAACAGCTTCCATCAAAATGATCAAATAATTTCGTAAAGCTACTACAATGAACTGTGGACAAAAGTCGCACTATTTACAAGTACCCTTTATAAAATCTCTCAATTCACTGCAGCAGCGTCCGACAGTTGAATTTGCACAATCCTGGTTCTGGTTCTCCCGTGCCCCCCTTCCCTCTAGCAGGCCCAGCAATGCGGCCTGTGCCTCAAGCAGTTTGGTGTCTGTGTTGGCTCCCAGTGGAGCAGCAAGGGGAACTCTCCTCCTCTCTCCGTAGCTTCCGAGTGCACAAAAAGGCGGCAGCAAAGCCGGATCTGGATCTGTTGCCGAAGGCCTGCAGAAACCTGACCTGAAGGAGCTTCTGGTGGACCTGCACGAGTTCATCTGATTTTGCATGGAAGCCGACATAGGGGCACCGATGACGAGCATTAAAAATAACTATTTAGAAATAGTCAATTTTCTCGCTCACGGTCATGTTTACTTATGCGTCATATAGAGTAATCAGTATTAAATTGAGACTGTTTCATAACCATTTCAAAGTTCCTCACAGTACCTTTAAATTAGTTATCATGTGGACTGCCTTCTGTGACCTCGAAATAATAGATAAAGTTCATTCAAGTCACAAGTCTGCCAAATCAGTGATTAAATGCCCCGGAAAAAAAGCTCAGCTACATAATACTCAGGATAGAGATAATCCCCCATCAGCTGTTCAGAGAAAATCTTGTTAAACTGGTGTAACTGGGAGAATTGCTGCAAAGAAACTCTCCTTTGTATTGAAGAATAAGAAAATGAGACTTTACTGGCCCAAAAGGACTAGACAGCAGTAGTTCACATCAAAGCTATCTTTACATGACTGGGTTTAACCATCAAGTACATAGGCAGACGCAGAGTGTATGAGGCAAACATGAAGGAAGCACACAGTCTGACAGAGAGTCTATTGCAAACACAACCAGCATGGCATTCAGAGCATACTTCACAATAACGCCTTGTAACTTGTATTTCTTCATAAGCATTCCCTTTGCATTGCCTGTGTTCATTGTATATACAGTGGTGCTCCATGTGCAGGTGATTAATTAGTTGATCAACAGAACATTTTGATGATCAATTAATTATTAGTTGAGAAAGAAATATGATGCATTTGCTGGATAAAGCTTAAAATGCTACCATTTGCTTGCATTTTCTGGTGCCATAGGTACAAATGACATCAACAACTTTGAAAGCAACCTGCACAACAATCAACCGCAACAGGTGTAAACGTAGTCGTTCAGACTTTTCTTACCAGAAGTCTCAATGTAATAATGTGTAATGGCCTTCCAGTGGTAGACAAAGTCCTCCTGCAAGGGCAGCGATGGGGCAAGCTGAAAAATAAAAATGCAAACAGAAGCATATTGAATGTTTACACTGGTGGCCAAGAGAGACATCATAGCGACATGTTTATGTTTCAGACGCTTTCAAACAGAAGTTGAGATTGAGAAGACTGGTTGGTCTTGGAAATGTATCTTCTAGCTTACAATTAACTATATCAACTCTGTGATTAATGGTTCTAATGTGCCACTACAAGCTGGCAGTGACCAGTGTGTTGTGATCCAAGACACAGCCCAGAACTCTTCTAAATGTTAAATAATGGGGTTTAACTTTCACTTTTGAGTGACATTAAGCTTAAGCCTCGTCATGGGTCTCATCATCATACACACTATATGGCAGAATTAAGAAATAACAAGCTAATATTACGCCAGAAGTCAAAAGTGTTCGCTTTGGGTCACCGACAAGCGTCTATTGTTTGAAACTCGTGAGGTGAAGCAGCTTGAAAACAGTTTTCAGGTTATTGCTGGTTTCTAGCTAACGCTAACTGGCTAACAAAGCTAAGCTGTGCGACGGAAAAACGTTTGCGCAACATCAAACGAGGATGTCCAGTCGTTTCGACACCGCTCCTCGTGATAAGACTCCGCTGTTTGAAACGGGATAGCTAGCTACCTAGCTATGACTTTACTTAACAGTTAAGCTTTTTGGGGCACAAACGTTAATAGTTATCAGTTACCATTAGCGGCTAACTAGCTCAGCTAGCCAAACTACCTTAAACATTGACGACTTTCTGCAATGAACAAACGGGCAATGTGAAAATGTGTTAGTTAGTAATACGAAAGAAACGCACCCACCGATATATTGTCGACAAATACAAACAAATTGACGGGACAAACACAAAACGCTAACATTAGCTTGCGCTAATACGTTAGCTCGCTAGTTAGCAACGTAGCCCTAATGCTGACGTTCTGTGTGATGTCCCAAAGGCCCCTTTCAACCAAAATAGACAATAGACAAAAGCAGGCCATTGGATACACATATGTTGTTTGTAAAAAAAACTCACCGCTTCCACAGCATGCTGGAGAATGGACGTAAATTTTGAGAACATTTTGTTCTTCGACTGGACTAGTTTCTCCCGAGAAGACCTAGAGAATTCCTCTATCTTCTTCTTCCTGTTGTTGCCGCCTCGATCCAGATTGGAGGTTTCATATAATGACCCTTGCAACGAAAGAATAAAGGTGAGCAATAAAACAGTAACACGTTGGTGTCCACAGGTATTCACAGGCCTGGCTCAACCACTGTAAACAAGACGTCTACAGACTCAAGTAACGTATGCCCACTGTGGACACGGTGGCACTTCCTTCGCCAAACGCTGCTGTTTCAACCCACCAGGGGGCGCAGGCACACAAAGCACCGGCGTATAATTACTGACAACGATCAATGCATACAAATGAAGACAACAACCAATATATTCAGTGAGGGACGGTGAGCTATATTTCCAGCTTGGAAACAACAATCAATACGCCCATGACAAATATAAAAGCAAGTATGGGATTCCGATAACCAAGCAATACATGTTATATGGAAACGACCCGGTGAGCTGTACAATCAATTGATTATGCCCCCACATAATGCACGGATGTGGGCTATTTTTCTGATATTGCAGTGTTTTTCCCAAATGGAGCTGAGGTTATACCAAGAGTCACTGCTTTTAGGATCAGGTTGAGGAGTCCACGTGATGAATTGGCTAGATCGACAAATATGTGCCTTTGAGCAGCCGGATTTATTGCGAAAAAAAACCATGTAAAATAACATTCATTGCGCCTGTCAACTTTGTGATTTAGCCCAACTACCACGTCCAGAACAGCACAGTCATCCCAGACAAAAAGAAAAGTAGGCTAGCTGGTTTAACGATAAGGCGACCCGATAGCAGCTGCAGGCGAGACATTTCTGGAATTATTTAATTTATAACTCCGTAATTCTGTGATATTATGTTGAAATATGGACATAAACTTGTTGGAAAATAAGAAGGATGCTGTCTGTTCCAGGACACGCCCTGTCGCTGGAAAGTGCTCTCTTCCATCGCGCAGTCTGGTCTAGTCTATACAAATCACCGGCTGTATGCTTCCCCGCGTTTAATCCCGTTAAATGACAGCCAAACAACTTAAAGCACAGATAATATTAGGCTGCCAACCGGTCTTTTCCCCTCCGTCAAAGCTGCACCGGGGCTCCAGGTTATCTCGGCAAAGAAAGAGAGGCTCTACCTACCGGGCATGTCTGCTAGAGGTGAGTGTCTTTTGCCGCAGAAGCCTTCATAACAATACACATACAGGGAAAAAAGTCTCTTAATATTTGGCGGGGGAGGGTCTTGGTTAAAGAACGGATGCAATGTAGCAGAGAGCCCGTTTGCGTCGTCTTTGGGAGGTTCAGGCTGCGATAATGACACTGTTATTGTAAGTAGGTTACACGGGTAGGTTATAACTACAGCTTCCACTGCTGCAGCCCTTTCTAGACAGCCTACAACTTATTCTGTTAAAATGAACGCTCTGTTGCAACCTATAAATAGATCACACCTTCTGTCCCAGCTGTGATAATGAACCTTATCTGATTGCTGTTTCTTTTACCATTTGACATTATCCTTAATCAGGGCTGATGTTAAAGGACGCACACATCCTAATTGTTGCCGAAGTGAAACTGTTGATGGAGGACATATTCTTAATTGGTTGGTTGTGATACAATAAAGTAGTGAAATACCAGGGTTATTGTACCTGTCAAGCGTTTAGCTGGTGAGGTGATAAAAAGTACATCGTTTTTGGGAAAAAGAACACAAATGTAAACTATCATTTGGTGCAACAATCTCAACTTGTCTGATTGGAGGAGAGGCTTTCACCTCTTGTTGAGCATAAATCCGTTTATACCTGCAAAACGGCACAGGCGGAGCATGTTTTTGTGCCCATCAAGTGGACCTTTTTTCTGGATTAGCGTCAGGTGACTTTGCTCTCTGGCAGAAGAGATAAAGAGCCTCCTGCTATATTGTGTTCAGACAGTCTGACCATCTGATTGTGAGCTGGATAAAAAACATAGTTTTAAATCTCGTGTTATCGGTCTGATCCTGTCATTGCATAAAACATTTATAAAGAAGCTCAAACTGTACAGTATGTCACTCACCTTCAGACTCTGTATGGTTGAGCATGTGTAGCATGATGGCTTTGCCCCCCCTCTTCCCATCACTGATGTGGCCTATCTGTCCTCTATGGGTGCTGCTGGTGGAGATCGATGGAGCTCAGAGCCCACCGCTTGATGGCCCCCCTGTGGTACATAGATCTGATTAGCACGCTTCAGCCCCTGCAAGCAGCCAATCATTATTCATGAGAAGTAACTGCACCGGTTGTGGCAATTACCTCTGTGTTAGCTCCACACGGAAGTGAGGTTATTCATTTATTATCACAGATAAATCAGGCACATTGATACAAACAGCATCCTCTGTAACAATATGTCCTATTAAACAGATATTTGTCATGGGCCAGGCTGAGTCAGTGCCTTTTCAGTTGCACCGGCTATAGTACTCCCATCTCACATGTACTGGACATCTTGATTCACAATATTTAACCAGAGGACATAAAGTGTTTTTGTGTATAGACAATAATTCAGAATATTTTTTGTGGAAATATATGTCCTTCTTATATGCTTTGAAGAGAATCTGAATGCACTATCCAATATGTTTCGGCCAGTCAGAATGTATTTTGAATGTTTTTGTCATCTTTGTCGTCAAAAGAAAATTGAGATAATTGATTCATCATTTAAGTGATTTCCTTGAGCAACATGCTCAAATATTTTCCATTTCCAGCGTCCCAACAGTGAGCTTTAGCTGCTTTCCTTTGTCAAAATGTGATAGTAAACGTAATATCTTTGGTTGGTTGGCGAAAACAAACAATTTGAAGACATCCCATTGTGTTTTATCAATTAATGACTTCAGAGAGGAAATTATTTAAAAAGTAACAATTAGTATAGGCTTACTGTGGACTACTGTAAAGAATGGACGTGATCCCTGGCCTGATCCGCGTTAATGTCTGAAGTATCAGTGTATAGCTGCAGGCTGAGCCTACACTGTTGTTGTATTATTTTAGATATTGTAGCATCTTTAAATCTATAGGCAAGATCTAAATCACGTTAGCCGATTGAAACATTTTCCTTCCCACAGACAACAGGAAGTTAGAAAAAGGCCTCAAAAGACTCCACGTTTCCCTCGTAGTAAGCATTTATGATGACCAGCCCCTCCCTCAGTTGTCCAAGCATTAGCCATTACTGTGCTCTCAGTCTTGCAGTCGCCAACTCCCCACCCCCTCTTATCAGCACAGGGCCATCAGCGTTTACCTTGGTAGTGATGCTCTTCCATTAGTCACCCCACCTTTTAATACACCCTTGAGGCCATACTGCTCTATCTGGACCTTTCAGTGTCGTATCATATTTCCTGTGCTGTTTTCTTTTGTCTAGAATCTCTTTACATGATTTATTTTTGAAATAAAACCTTTTTTTCTATATGTACAACTTTTATCCTGTGGGATGTTGACGGAGCAGATACTGTATATTATTTCAAGCAGTGCTTTTACCTTCCTTCTAACCTGTAAGCTGCTGCAGCGAGTCTTTCATTCATGGTCACTGAGCAGTTAGAGCGGAGCAACTGAGAGTTAAGTGCTTTGTTCAAGGTCACCTGGGTAATAGCATTCATCAGATTCCTCCATCTTCTCCCTCTTGGTTGGTGAAATCACCTTAAAAACTGCCACAGTGTGCCACAATGTCATTTAGCATAATCTTGTCTTTTGTTGTTATAATTTGCTGTTCTGCTATCATTGGTTCTCCGCTGTTTACTTTGAGCATTCATACGTGGGTGAATTTATTTTTCCTCTTGGTCCACGGGAGCCATTTATCTCTGAATCTTAAAACAACATGTTGGATGACAGAGTTCTCACATATGTGGGCCCCAATGTTTCTGCTACTCCTGGGCTGTTTCTAAGAGTTGGCATGTCACATTTTATAGCTTATTTCAATTGACGTTTTTGATGGCATTGTAGTAGAGTGTGTTGAGTTTATATAGGTTTTTTACTAATGACATCTTCAACATGAATCTGAGTTTACCACAATGCGGCAAAACGTTCATATTTAGACCTGCGATCACAATTAATATACAGAAATAAATGAATACTTATTATTGTTATAAGTTGTAGCATGAATGCAAGGCGTACAGAGTTGTGTCAGCCTAAAGAGATTGGGGGTAACTATATTTTGTGGGCCATGCGTCCCCATTTTATCCCCATTTTCATTAGACTTTGCTGTTTTCCAGTAGTCAGATCTGACAGTAATCAAATGCATTTGGATGTCAGGATAGCTTTAAGTGACCAGCAGCAAAAGAAAGTCCTCGTCGGTACATCTTCCGCTTTGCCCTGCTCTGACCTCCTTCTCTGCCCCGCCCTTTCCCCGAGCAAGGTTAGCACATCCGGCGCACCGTACCTGTTACACTGCAGTGCTATCCGGATGATCAATGGTGGAGGAAAAAAGGAGGCATGGCTCCATTCTGCAGTAACTTAATGCCTCATCCTTATGCCACCACCAGAGAGGGCTGCTCATGCTCCAACAGCACGACCCTCTGCATCAGCTCTTTTCTCTCTGTGTGTGTGTGTATACTCTATGTGCGCATATGGGGGTTGGTGTGCGCGCGCATGAATGTGTCCTGGCAAAAGCCTGCATAATTGATGAGCAGGGGAAGGAGTGAAAGCGCTGCCGGACGGGACAGTGAGTGTGTAGAGATGGGGGAGAGGGATACAGCGTGGCAGGAGCCTAGCTACGATGGGCTCTGCAACTACGCCCAAAGAATCACCTCCTGCTTCGGACTGGATGGTAAGACGGGGGAAACAGATGAAGAGGAGGAGGAGGGAGGGAGGGAGGGAGGGGGGGGGGGTGTTTTTCTTCTTGTTTGAAGCAGAAACGGCAGAGGCTAGGAAAATGTTTGGGATGTCTTTTGTGTGCGATGCAGATTTTTTTCTGCGTGCAGGGACAGCAGTCTTGCTTTCTGAGCACCTATGTGTTTTGATCTGCGAGTGTGTGTGTCAAAGCTACCACACAGGGGATGACAGTTGGTAGGGCAGTGCCTCACTGCAGCAGAATAGCACGTCCGTAGCTACCCCCGAGGTCCATGTGTCTGCGTGTGTGGGTGTAAGAGTGGACGTCCTCTTGCTTGCACCTCACTAACACCTTGATCTTAACCCCGGCTCTCTGAATGGGAGTTGAAATTAGTTAAATACTGCATGGATGTAAATATAACTCAATTTGGCCAGCTAAGCTCCAGCCATCCCGTTTCTGTGCACCCTCTCAGACGAAGAGGAAAGTCATCAAATTGGAAGTGCAGGCCAAGCACGACATCTCTAGACCTAAAGGGTATTTTGTGCTTTGTCATTATCTGCTTTTCATCATGCCTACGTACCTCAATGATTCATTTCATTTCCTGGGAGAAAGTAGCTGTGATGAATCTGTTTGATGAATATTAGATGTCTTGGAAGGTTTTTCTGTTCTTGTGCTTTTAGTTATTTTTCTGTGTATGTATGGAAGAGACAGTCCATGTCCTAGAAGCACTGTTTTCACTTAAAACATATCGGAGCACTGGTGTGGGGTTATTTTTGTTTTTGTGGAGTTTGCTTAGATTCTCCCTCTGCATCATCTTATCTTTTCACCTCCCACCAGAACATGTCTATGAATCAAAGTTTGCCTCATGCTAACCAAACTCACATTTCCAACAAAGGTGACTGCATCTTTGACTCACGAAAGAGTGCTTGTAAGACACTCAGTAGCTCGAAATGTTGGTTTTATACGGATTTGGCTTGTCAAGAAAACACTCTGGAAATCTTTGCAGAAACAAATTCGTCCCAACATTAGATGGTTCGAAGATTAAAAACTCAGAACATGCTTTCTTACTAAGTTACATCTTCCAAAATCCGATACCCGATGATTTCAGAGGATAATGGTGAGCCACATGCTGACATTTCAATTTCATCACTGATGTAGTACTAACAGTATCTGTTATTGTGAAGGATCCTGCTGCTGATTAACAGTGGGTTTGTGCATTGTTGGCTGGTGGAATGACCTTGTAAAGGACTGGCAGCCTTCCAAGCCAATCTACCCTTGTACCTATGTCTTGGATCACTGTGATGCTGCACACCATTATGCATCCATTTAGGTCAGGCATGTCCAAAGTCCGGCCCGCGGGCCAATCACGGCCCGAGGTCAGATTTCATATGGCCCCCACCTTAAAATGCATTATTTATGGCCCGCCAGCACAGTCAAAACGGAATGAATAAATCATACAAATTCAACATGCAATTCCTCTTTCTACCTCATGGTGGCAGCACCACTCTGTAACTGTCTGGCTGTTTGAAATTGGCTCTGACCCTTGACCTGTCATGTTACGGCAGGTAAAAAAAGGAAAGTCGATAATGAGGGCCGCCGCTTCCAGGAGAGGTGGAGATCGCAATATTTTTTTCACCGAAAACCGAAACAACTGTGTCTGCCTAATTAGTCATGAGACTGTTGCCTTGTTTAAGCTATATAATGTAAAGAGACACTACGACACCAAACATGCTAATGCTACAACAAGCTATCAGAGCGACCGAGCTAGAAAAGTGAAGCAACTCCAAGATAACTTGGCCACACAGCAGCGGTCCTTTTCACATGAAAACATCATCAAAGTAAGCTACCAAGTGGCCATGCTAACTGCTAAACACGACAAACATGACAAAGTTTATCAAAGACTGTTGTGAAAATAGCGGAAAACATAATTGCCCCGAGAAGAAGACGGTAAAGTAACAATAATGTCAGGAAGTAAAGTGACATTTTTTTATCAACCTGACAAAATTACGTTCTTGTGGGAAGAAAAGGCAACAATGTAGCTTCTTTACATTCTATTAGAATGTAAAGAAGCTACAGTGTATAGAATGATTCTATTGAAGTTATTCCTTTTTTAAATGTTTTAGACAAGTCACTAATCACTTTAAAATAGTGATTATAGCTGCTTACATTTGGTTACATTGCTATTTGCTGTCATTGAAAATAAAATGATTAAATAACAATGTATGTATAGGCTACTTGTATTGTTTAAAATAATGTCAGCAGGGACTGTTGGCCCTTGGGCATTTTCACATTATCAAATCTGGCCCTCTGAAAAAAGTTTGGACACCCCTGATTTAGGTTAATGCAAAGCACATTAACACAAAAACCCTCTTTGTGAGCGTAATAGAATATAGAATGCTCTCTCAAGGAGGATCTTCTCGTCTAATGACTTTTTCTGACCTAAAATGTAGCACACACGGGGGAAAAAACGACGCATTTAGCTTTTTTAAAGGTCTGCCAGAATCTCATCTCGTCATTGTACGGATGTGAATGAGCAGAGCAGTGATTGGGATGCACATGAGCCACATCAGGTACAGAGACTCCCACCACATGCAGGGCCTGATGTAGAGCTACCTAACCCCACCCAGAAGATAATCATGGGATCGACGTCAGCCCTAAGCTGCTTAAGGCACTAGGCTGGCTGGGCTGAAGACGCTTCCTACATCCACTGCCGATCTGAAGTGACAAGTAGACTGATCGTAACAGGACGAGTTTTCCACCGCTGGATATTGCCGTGATTTTATGATGAGCTGCTGTGAAGTCGCCCACCAATCTCTGGCTCCTTTGTTTCCTCTTTGTGCCTCTATGAACACCCCGTGTTCTTAATGTCAAAAGGCGACTGGATTTCAGAGTGGGTCTGAGCCCAACCCTGGCCGACGTCTACCTACAGTGCTTCACCCTACACTGTGGGACAGCCGAAAGGGAGCAGGGCGCCATGCCCACCCTGCCCAATCTCAACAGCCTGGGCAAGCTGTGCAGCTCCAGCCGCAGCAACAGTGTCGACCGCGTCCGGGTGAAGCGCAAGAGCTCGGTCAAGCGCATGTCCATCATCGAGGACGGGCACGTGGCCGAGGTCCTGTACCTCATCCCTAAACAATACATGGAGCAGCTGCCTTACCTCGACCCAAATGATTATTACCTGAGTGAGAGGCTGAACGATGTCGCTACAGGTAGGACAGGAGCAAAAATACATCTATTTGAAGAATGCGTTCACCCATCTCACATTACAGCCGTCCATCCCAGCTGTGGCTGACTGCAACACCAGTCAGCTTTAATGAGGATTGCTTATTCAATGAGAAATACAAAAATGTACTATTAAAATACAAAACAACAAGTTTTCGCATTGGATTTACAGGAAGTACTTTGTTCTTCTTTTAGATGCTTTTAATTGAAGTTGCATTTCATTCTATCCTGTCCCTTTTCCTCTCCTCTGCTTTCCCCTTTCCAACAGTTGTTTGTTGAAACCACGAGGGGCTGTTGTTTTGGTCGTGTCTCGCTTGTTTGGTCACCCTGCTTTGCATTCTGTTTGCGAGTAGGTGTCTGAAAGTGAATTGATTAGTCGCTGCTCAGAGATTACTTCATTTTAATTGGATGAAAGTGAGTGATTACACCTCTTGAGGCTTTCCACATCTGACCCATGCATATGTGTGAGTGCCCCTGTCCACAAGTTATGCAACCACAAATCCCCGACGCCAAAACAGTGTTGCTTCAAATGTTGAAAAAAAACAGGAAATGAATCACTGCCCTCTCCATAGTTATATAATATAATGCAAACCGCATATGCAAGGGCTGACCTGCTGCTTTTTGCCAAGCAACAGTACACGGGGAAGCTACATGGTGGCTTAAATCAGGATTACAACATGGGCATGAGGACAAATCGAGATTTTCAGACCTTATGTATTCTCTGACTGCATGCCAGGCACAGTAGTAAAGTCATCATCGCTTGGAACTCGTTTGTAAATACCACAGACGGCAGCAACTCCTTCGGTTTTGGAGAGGAAGTTTGATATTGACCAATGGCTCAGGTTCAAGGAAGCTTTGTGTCTGCACACTGACCCTAGATCAAAAGGTCACAAAGGTCAAGGCTTATGTTAGCCATTTCATTCCTTCAGTGACAGCTAAAATCAATCAAAGCGACAGTGACAGTCAATAGCTACTTGTATGCTCGGGAGGCCAAGACTGGGTCATTTCACTGCTGCTTTAATGTTTTTGGACAGGAAAAAGGCTTCCATGACTTTCCTGAGACCTGATAAAAACAGCAAAAAGAAACAATAATCCTCATTTTATTTCATCTTTTCTTGAACCTCTCTAGTGTTGAAGTGTCAACCCAACTAAGCTGAAGTGTTGTGTTCACTGTTTCCACACCATAAGCAATGCTGCATTATTCCACCGGTTAAGTGCTTTTGAATATGAGTGGCACTTATTCGACTCCTCAAGTGGATTGTAGGTTAAAACATTTTTTTTTTGCTTTGTAAATTGTTGAAATACCCACTGAAAAAGAAAGAATGTGGAACGAATGTTGTAGTGAAAACATGTTTCTGTGTATTCAGAGTCGCTGCAAACACAGAAATGTTTTTGCAAAGACATAGACTTTGAAGAAGGTTGCACAGGATTGCTGCTCAAAAGGTTCTCGCTGTTTTGTTGTTTTAAAATAGAAACAAGCTGGTGAAGTCTTTTTCATTACCCAGAGATAGAAAGGCAGGTCTGTCTATGCTCCAAAAGAGTTGAGGGGTTCATCCTGCTCATTTTATAGCTGTCACGCTACGTGTCTGGTGGATTTGTAAAAATTGGCAAATCATCACCTGGTGTATAGGGTGTGTAGCTGAGAGCGTTTGCACATGAGTGTTCGGTATACATCTGTGTGCGTGTGTGTAGTTCCACTAATCCTCATTTTAATCCCAGGGATAACTCTGCAGTAAATCCACACAAACCACTGTTGTTTACTGTAAATGTGACCT